TTAGGGCCGTTTAGGGTTTAGGGTTCGGGGTTTAGGGTTCGGGGTTTAAGGTTTAGGGTTTAGGGTTTAAGGTTTAGGGTTTAGGGTTTAGGGTTGAGGGTTCGGGGTTTAGGGGTTTAGGGGTTTAGGGACACTCCTAACCCGGTAGCGCCCTACTCCCAGCAGAGCAAAGGCCCCATAGACCCCCATGAACAAACCCCTAGACCGTAAACCCATGAACACATGAACGCACGCAAAAAGCCGCCTGTTTCATGTTCTGGTACAAGGAAGCCAAGAGATTCCTCTGAAGCCCTGTTCTAGGAACTCAGGCTTGGGTTTGGTGTTTAGGGCTTCAGGTTTAGAGCTTTGGGTTTAGGGCTTTGGGTTTAGGGTTTAGGGCTTAGGGTTTAGGGGCTATCGCACTCCCAACATCAGGACCTGGAGACGGCTTCTGAAGACGCCTGGCATGAACACGTTGCGTTTCAGGGTTTAGGGTTTAGGGTTTCAGGGTTTAGGGTTTAGGGTTTAGGGTTTCATTGCCTGTGGGTTCCCAGAGCATCCAATACCCCTTCATTAAGGAATATACCTCAAATTATAGTAGGATCCCGAATAAGATTGAAGGTCTATTCCTTAATTAAGGGGTATTGGAGTCTCTGGGTTTGAGCTTTCCAGGGTTCTGCAAGGTTTTAGCAGTATTCTTTGTGGGGTTTACAAAGGGCCAAGATCCCACACGAGGATAGTGAAGAATGCATGGGTGGGGACCGGGGTTGTCGATTGCTGCCAGAGGAGGGTCAGGGTTTGGGGTTTAGGGTTTAGGGTTTAGGGTTTAGGGTTTAGGGGTTTAGGGGTTTAGGGGTTTAGGGTTTAGGGTTTAGGGTTTAGGGTTTAGGGTTTGCTTTTTGCATTGTTGTTGTAGGAATCGCGCGGATTGGGAGAAGACTGTCAATATTCGTCTGGGCCTTTCGGCAGGAAGCACGACTAGACGTAGTCGTATCAGTCCTTGTGGCTAAAGTCGCATCAAATGAGGATAGTTGTCTTCAGGCACAGTGATCTACAGTCCATGAGTCCAAGCATACCAACAAGGAGCAAAGGAACGCCGAGTAACACCACCATAATGCCAATCAGATCAAATGGCAACCCGAACTGTTTCAATCAGCGAGAAGGACAGTAAGAGATCGGAGGCAGGCACCTAAGCTTTAGGACCTGAAGGAAAGCCACAATTGGCCTCGCCATCCTGGAGAACGAAATCGGCACAACCCGAGGCGGCTGACCTGGTGCAGAAGCGCGATGCCCGCATCAACCTGATGGCTCTTTACGAGGCGCATTTTCTTCACATGCTCGATAAGAGCCCGAAGTTTGCGTATCTGTTTAATGGCTGCTGAATTCTCACCATGGTCGTGGTCGTGGTGGTAGTCGAGGTCGTGGTGGTGGTAATTCGGATTAGTAGTAGTAGTAGTAGTAGTAGTAGTAGTAGTAGTTGTAGTAGCAGCAGCAGCAGCAGCAGTACTCATGTTTTCATCGATCGCCTGAGAGAAAGTCCTTCCCAGGGCCACTGCCTTTCCTAAAGGAGTTCTCACACGTGTTCGCACACAGGACACAGCCTGCTGTGCCTGAGCCCGAGCTCGCTGAAACCCTTCACACCAAATGCCGGAACTTTTGGTGTATCACACTGATCGCACACTTCATCCGGGGTGCTCTCCCGCAATCATTTAGCCGGACCTGAACTCAGCTAAAACCAGGAAACCCCTAACCCGAACTTGGAGATCAGCCGGCAGCCTTAAGATCTCTAAACTCTAAAAGCTGTAAGCCCTGAGCTTGACATTCTTTTCAAATTTTCCTTGGCTTTTAGGACTTTAACTTATTGGGTTTCTATATGAACCATAATAAAGGAGGTAAAGGTTTAACTTTTAGGAGGGGTCCAGAAGTCAGCCAAGTGAATCCCAGAGCTGTGCCCCTTTATCGCAGAACGATGGAGTCGTTCTACTTTGCCAAACCTTCCGACGAGGGATGCCCCTGGGCTCAGGGAGCTACCGATACGATTCCTTCGGGTTCCTTCTTATAAACTATAGTACAATATAAGCCCAAACGCCCTATTCTACTCATTAAGCGACCTATTATTAGGGAGTCTAGGGTTCCAGGGTTCGGGGTTGAAGGGATTGTGTTGGAGGACTTGAGCTTTGGGTTTAGGTTCTGCATCACAAACCCTGAGCCGGCCATAGCCAGGTTTTTGTTTTAAACGCATCCCTTAACACTTCAGGGTTTAGGGGCTTAGGGTTTAGGGGTTTAGGGTTTAGGGTGCGAACTTATTTGATAAGGGTTCTTGGTTCTGAGAACTTTAAACGTTCAAGGGCTGAGGGATGAGGAATTGTTTTGCCCGAACGGTACCCTGAGGATTACCTAGGATCCTTACCCCTTACCCCTAAACCCTATACCCGAAAACCCCCGAAACCCCAAACCCGAAACCCTAAACCGAAACCCTAAACCCCTACAGCCCTAAACCCGAAACCCTCAAAGAGGGACCCAGGGGGGGCCGTAAAAAAAAAAAAAAAAACCAAGGAAGCCGACGCCGAAAGTCTGAGGTTTTCGCCCGACTACGTCTGGATGCTTTCATCCGGCTGGTGGCTGCCTGGCTTGCGGCTTTAGAGGGTTTAGGGTGTAGAGGGTTTGGGGTTTAGGGTTTAGAGGGTTTAGGGTTCAGGGTTTAGGGGGTTTGGGGTTTAGGGTTTAGAGGGTTTAGAGGGTTTGGGGTTTAG